AGAGAGAGAGAGAGATGTGTACATGCTTATACACTGGGGTGAGTAACAATGTCTGAGCTGCTGGGCATATCGTATAATAGTCCTCTCTTCTTTTTGCATCAAACTTGAATACCTCATTTTTTATGTCCTGCAAATTTTTTAGGACATCTCTCATGTCCATCCTCTCCTTTGGTGATTCTAATGAACAAGAAAGCCCGATACCCAGGATGGCCACTAAACATGGTTGTATTTCATTTATCCTCTTTGATCCCATGTTTGTATCACCAACTTCTACCAATCTTTTATCAACAATTTCCATCACTCGATGAGGAAATACTCTCTTCACAAATTCACGAAGAGTTGTTCCATTTGTAAACATTTCATCAGTGGGCTTCTTTCCGATGAACACCTCCAACAATAGAATCCCAAAGCTATAGACATCTCCCTTAGTTGATACTTTAAGACCAAAACTATACTCTGCAATAACAACATTTTCATTACAAAAGTCATCCTCAATAAACAAAGAAAAGAATCTACAGAACAATAAAAACTAGCAGCAAAATAATTTTAGACGGAAAACATAGCTTTGGTGACATTGAAAGTAATGTTGTCAACAAGGTTTAGAAACTCATCTTGTCCAAGCTACTTGGGTGTTGGCTGAGGTGAGTGACTCGGTCGAGTCTGAGTACTCGGACTGGAGTCTCGTACTGGGCCAAAAGCTCTAGATTAATTTTTTTAAAAATAGAAAATATAATAAAGGTAGGAAAAGTAAAATAAAACAAAAAGTAACCTAAAAATACAAAATAATTTTAAAAAGTAATGAAAAGTGGATTTAAGAAAAATTGATTTTAGCTGAAGACATTTTAAAAAATTCAAAAAAAAAGAAATATAAAAATTGGGATTATGGCAAAAATTACTTGGCAACTTATACAAAAGAGATCAAAATCATTCGCAAAAAAGTTTATATAAAATCCCTATGTTTTTTTCACTTCTTTATGTTTTTTATTTTTTTTATGTGCCCCGTTTATTACACACAATTTGGGGTAATTGGCCTTGCCCATAGGGCGATGCCGAGTTACTCGCCTGAGTCGAAGTGGACTCGAGTAAGTCATGTAGAACAAGTTATGAATACCTGGAGGAATGTAACCAATAGATCCTTTGATTCCAAGTGTACTACTCTGATTATCTAATGGAACAACTGGAGACAGGATTCTAGCTAGGCCAAAGTCACCGACATGTGCAGTCATGTCATCATCAAGAAGAATATTACTGGGCTTCAGATCACAATGGACAACAGGTGTTGGACAATCATGATGTAGATATTTTACAGCAGATGCTATATCTATCATAATGCTCAATCTTTGCAAGAGGTTCAAGTTTAATCGGTGATTTTGATCCTCGTTGGCCATAACCAAATGACTTGGTGGGTGGAGCCACTTGTTCAAGCTTCCATTGCACATGTATTCTAATATTAGGGCTTTGAAGTCATTACCTCGGACACCATGGGTAATACAACAAGTGATCAGCTTGACAAGGTTCCGGTGTCGAATTCCACTGAGAGCTTTACATTCGGCTGCGAAACTCTTGAAATCTCTACGATGCTTCAGGTGGAGAACCTTTACTGCAACGACCATCCCATCGAGAAGAGTTCCCTTGTAAACAGTGCCAAAGCTGCCTAAACCGATCAATTTTGCCGAATCAAAACCGTTAGTGGCCAGAGATAGTTCTTGGTAAGAGACTTTTCTATAGTCTTTTTTGAAAGGAATTTTGTCTCCTGGTTTTTTTCTTCGGACCAATAAGATAGTTGCCCCAAGTATAATTGCTAAGATAGGCAAGATAGGGGCTAGAATGAATACTCTTGATGATCTAAATCTTTGGTGGATCTCTTCGGAAGATTGGATGTAGCAAGCAGTAATATTCATAGTCCTTGGACCCCCACAGAGCTTATTGTTTCCTCGGAGATCAAGTGAAGTACTACTTAATAGTATCTCTTCTGGAATCTCTCCTTCGAATTCATTGAATGATAGATTTAATCTCTCTATATACCAAAACCGCAGTAGATATTTTGGTATCTTTCCGGAGAGGTGATTCCTAGATATGTCTAGGTTTTGTATTACTTTCAGGTTGTTAAATGATTCTGGAATTCGGCCTTGTAAATTATTATGAGAGAGATCCAAAGCCGCTAGATATTCGATGTTACCTATTGACTTCGGAATGGGACCTTCCAATGAATTACTAGCAATCCGAATACTGGTAGAAAGCTGTGAATCGATAAATGAATCTGGAATAACTCCTGAAAGCTTGTTCTCGGACAGGTCCATCTGTAAAAGTTGGAGGGCAAGCAGCGAAGCAGGTATGGTTCCATTAATCATGTTTTGGGAGAGATCCAAGTGAGAAAGACGGGAACAATTTCTTAAACTCAATGGGATTCGACCAGATAATTTGTTCCTTGACAAATCTAAATAATCCAAAAGATGAAGTTGCCCAATTGTTGAGGGAATGCTTCCACTTAAGCAGTTGTGATCCAATTGTAACTTTATCAAGTTCACAAGGTTCCCAATCCCTGGGGGAATGCTTCCAACCAGACTATTATGAGATGCATCCAAATAACTTAATGATGACAGGTTGTAAATGGAAGGATGGATACTACCACTCAAGTTATTTCCACAGAGCCTCAAAATCCCAAGTCTCTTCAAATGGCTCAACTCTTTGGGTATGTCCCCTATTAGAGAGTTATTAGATAGGTCGAGCCATTTTAGAGCTGAAAGGTTTCCAAAAGGAGGTGGGATGTTTCCTTGTAAATTAATATCTGAAAGATAGAGAGTTTCTAGGTTCGGTAAGTTGCCCATGTCCATGGGTAAGGTTCCATTCATATGGTTTCCGGTCATGCCGAGACGCACAAGACTCGTGCAATTCCCCAAACTCGAATGGGATTTTACCGGACAAAGAATTCCATGACAAACCCAAGTCTTTTAAGCGCTGCAGTCGTCCAATTGCTGCAGGAATGCTCCCATGTACGCTGTTGACTCTCAAATTCAAGTGTTCCAAACTCGCAAGGTTTCCGATTTCGAATGGGATGCTTCCTTCAACAACATTGAAGCTCAGGTCGAGACTCTTCAAGAGAGATAAACGTCCAATCTCCCTAGGGATGTTTCCATGGAAAATGTTATCAGAGAGGCTTAGGGAGGTAAGAGAAGAGAGATTACCGATGTGTGGACTGATGGTGCCACCCAAGGAAGAAGACTTAAGATCCAGTGTTACTACTCTCTCCTTTTGCCGGTCGCATGTAACTCCTTGCCAATCGCACACACGAACACTTGCATTCCACGAGCTCAACACCCCGTATGGATCGCGCTTTACCTCTCTCTTAAACTGGTAGAGAGAGAATTGATCAGTCGAAAGATTGAAGGGGGTGGATGGTACCTCCAAACCAACTGCTTCCATGCAACACACAGTAAGTATGGCCATAAGAAAAACACTCTGTGACCTCAATACAAAGCTACACCCCATATTCTCTCCCCCTCTTGATCTATTGTTCCCTTTAAGGTGTCGCCTCAAATGCTTGAAAAGATAGGGTTTTTGTATACATGGCTACAAGACCTGCGAAGTTTTGCCCAAACCAGTCAAGAACGTGTAAGTCTATTCATCATGGAAAATAGCATGTAATAATTGACAAAGAAACTTTGAATTTTAGGGATGTTGAGTGCGTATAGCCCACTGGTGAAGAGACACGTCTCTTTACTTTTGATAGTTTAGAAACCAACAATGTTTTATTTTAGCTCCCAGTACTTTCAAATATATCTAATGTGCCACATAACTATTGTTTATGCTGTAGCCAAATCACTATATTCATTTTTTTTTATTAAGATTAAAGGCACTACGGTAAAAAAAATTGATTTTTTGGAAAAGCAAAAGAGTGATATCTATATAAGAGAGTCCAAAAAGACATAATGCTCTTCATTTTGAAGATCACCCCTTTGGGGTTCAAGAGAAAGGACGTTCAAAAAGAAGATAAGTCTCCATGTGAGAGATCTAAGAGAGGTGGTATTTTCATGGGATTTTGGATTAGTTAAGTTTTTCAAACGTTTTTTAACTGCCCAAACAACTTTTTTTTCTCTTTTTTTTTTTTGGTTTACATTTTATCTGGAAATTCATCCCAATTTATTACGGGGCCCACTAGGCGGTTTGGAAGTTCGACCTTCTAACTGTACATAAATTATAATTTTTTTTAGCTTTGTTTTTGAGTTGAAACATTCATAATCATGAAAACGGTTTCACCAAACAATAGTTAAGATTTGGAAATATAGTAGGGAGCCAGCCAAACATCACTTTAGAACTTTTCTCCTCACCTCATTATCTCATTAAAATGTTGCTTTGAGGGTTACATGCTTGGCGATAAGTTAATCTTGATATATATCTGAGAATCATGGGAAGTGTTGGAATCTATAACAAGAGACTGAAGACTTTTTTTTTAAGTCTTCTCCAACAGTGAAACCCAATGGGAAGTGTTGGAATCTATAACAAGAGACTGAAGACTTTTTTTTCAAGTCTTCTCCAACAGTGAAACCCAGGTTGTACGTTTGTGAATTATTGAGGGCCGGCCTGCCTTTGTCTCCTTATGAAAAGTGAATCGAAAAGGGGTGGCAACGGGCCGGGTAAGGGTAAGGGTCGGGTCCGGTTGGACCCAGATCCATATCTAGCTTCAAATAGTTTTGAATTTAGGTTTTGGACCGGACCCTACCCTATCCATTGGATCCAAAAGTTGGACTTATATCCGTACTCGTCAATTCCCGATCAATCCAGTCAAGTCCCGGGTCTGGTCAGGTCTATTGCCACCCGCACTATGAGCTTTTTTTTCTTTCTTTTTTTTGCTTTTTTTTATCACCATATACCCATATTATTGGCAACAATGTCATAATCACCCACCATTAGATTTTAAGTTGCCTGATTTGTCGTTTCGTAGCTAAATATGACTTATTATGTATGATTATTAATAAACCCAAACGAATAGGGCTTAAAGTATTTTATTTCCAACAGGTTACGAGTACGGGTCGGGTCCAACTAGACCTAAACCTAGACCAAAATAGTGTTTAGGTCCAAGATTAGGTATCTTGATATATATCTGAAAATCTTGAGAAAAGTTGGAATCTATAACAAGAGTTTGAAGACTTCTTTTTAAGTCTTCTCCACAATGAAACCCAATTTGTACATTTGTGAATTATTGAGGGCCAGTCTTGGTCTCCTTATGATAAGTGGATCCAAATGACCAAGGGTGGCAACAGGTCCGGTCTGGCTGGACTCGGACCCGGACCCAAACCCAGACCTGAGTCGCATTCAGATTCAGGTTTTGGACTCAAACCCAACCCGTCGGATCTAAAAGTTGGATCCATACCCATACTTGTCGGGTCCGAGGTCTATCCCATCAGGTCTCAGGTCTGATCGGGTCTATTGCCACCCGCACTATGAGCTTCTTCTTTCTTTTCTTTTTTTACCATCACATGCCTATACTATTTGGCAACAAAGTCACAATCACTTGCCATCATATTTCAAGTTGTCTTATTTATCATTTAATAGCTAAATATGATTATGAGTTCTTATCGTATACGATCTTTAATAGACCAAAACAAATAGGGTTTGAAGGATTTTATTTCTAACAGTTTATGGGTACGGGTCGAGTCCAATCAGACCTGGACCTATACCCAAATAGTGTTCTGGTCCAGATTTTGGAACCAAACCCGACAAGCATTAGACCCTTACCTGAACCCAGGTCAGGTATACGGTATACCCGTTGGATCCTGGGTCTGGTCCGAGTCCGCATCCGGGTCCATTGTCACCCCTACAAACGACTTAGAAATCAAACGACTTGGACTTGAAAATAAAAAAAGGCCGGATTTAGGTGCCAGGCCCTGTTAGTTTTACATATATGTGACCTACCCTTGTTCTCATTTGAGAATTTTCAATATGAATTGCAAACGGATTTTCTGCTTGGGCTGGAGAATAATGTCTAATTGCTCCCACAAGTAATGGGTATATCACTTTTTGGACTCCAAATTTTGGAGATGCAATCGGCAACGAACCTCAAAAAAAAAAAAAACAAAAAAATTAATATATATATATATATATATATATATATATATATATATAGTGGAGGAGAGACGACACGAACGGAGGTAAGG